ACTTGCTTGCCTGCTGAATTAAAGTGAAACTATTTTTCTTCTCTGCTTGTGTTTTGCCTATAACTTTCTACCAGTTGGAAGAATCTACTATTGGTATTGTAACCTTTACTTAATATGTTATTACGTATATAAAGAAGTTAATGAATCCTGTTGAATTGTGTGTGTTTTCTGGATTTGAATTTCTGCTGCAAAATCTGACAAAAGCGGATTACATGAACTTGGGACACAGCCACAGTCGCAAGTATGAACCATATCTGAATTTTGATCCCATGATCATCGGGATGCTGGAAAGATCGTAACTATGATAAATGGTTACTTTTGCCAGCCATTGTAACTTTCAATGGGCGCTAAACAAACTGTTGTAAGTCGAAGGACTTCCTGCAGTTTGCCTTAAGATGTCTCTGCATGAGATGGCTAAATCCTCAAGGTTTGTCTATTCTTCCCTGTCTGGATTCACCCAGACTATTATTCAAACTTGAAAGCCAGAAGGCAAAGGCTGAAGGATACAGTTCTTGGATCAGCTATTTTTATTGCCGATACTAAAAAAAAAAAAAAAAAAGCCATAATTAGAGCAGAAAACCATCAACTGCCAATTTTGAGTCCCCAAATTTAAGTACGGCAGTCCAGAGGTGCAAACTTCATATCTCTTTTCTCTTCAGAAAAAGACGGGAAAGAGGTAATTTCTCAGTGAGAATGACAGTTGAGAACACTGCATAGTTATAATAATGGACCTGTCTGTCTCAGGCTTTTCTGTCTGGCTTTTGGCCTTCTAGACCTCAAAAGTCCTCTCCTCTAACACAGCATCAGGGACACCAAAAGATCTTGTTTCCTATTTTAAACTAAGAACAGCTTTCTTACATTTTAACTTGGAGCCCTCCGGCTCATTTAAACCAGAGATGCGTAAAGTTTTTTTTTTCCCCCAAGCCAAAAGACAAGCTTGGTTTTGAGTAGTATTCTAGGGGCTACATTCCAAAGTCTGGGTAGGGCAAAGACAACAAAACAAAATTGCAGGTTTTTTTTTTTAAAAAATAATGAACTACAAATGTATACCGCTCTCCTCCCACGTGTTCCCTCGCTTCCCCCTTGTGATGAATTCAGGATTACAATTCTCTGTCTTTTTGTTGTTGTTGTTGGCTTTATGCAGTGTTTTGTTGATCGTTGAATGGTGAAATAAAATTAAAAAGAACAAAAGGCCACTTTTGGCAGCAACTGGAGAGAGAGAGAGAGACTCTTGGGGCAATAGCCAAAATTTTAGAGGGCCACTTATATACCTAAGACCACAGATTATGCACTGGCTTGAAATGGGTCATGAGCTAGTTAGAATTACAAAGAAGGGTGGGAACCTCTCACTGGAATGAACTTTGCTTTAATCGGAGTTTTGCCGTCTCTGGAGGACATGGGAAATGGCGGTGAGTTTAAAAGTTGTAGCATTTTAAGCTTGCAGCGGCACCAGGAAAAGGAGATGAAAATCCAAAAAGACAACAACGATCGTATTTGTCTTGGCTCAGACATTATGACCTGTCTCTTCACCCAGACCTTTGGCGAGGGAGGGCGAGACATCTCTTCATTCCATCTGGCCTCTTGCGATTGCTATCTTTTTTTTAATCTTCTGTTGATTTTATTGCAATTTCTTTGTTGTGAGCCACCCAGAAGAGTTGGGAGTCAGATGGCACACCAGCTTCAACAATAACAACAACAAACTAAGGTTCACCCATGACATCTTGGCAGGCTGAGTACAGCTGGTCCTCAACTTACGACCCAGTTAGGACCAGAATTTCTGTTGCTAAGCAAGGCCGCTGCTAAGTGAGTTGCGCCCAATTCTACGTTTTTAGCTATGGTTGTTAGGCAAATCACTGCAGTTAAATCAATAGCACTAGGAGCAATAGTACTTAGACTTATATACCGCTTCATAGTGCTTTACAGCCCACTGTGATGACCCAGGGTGGGATACAAAATCAACACGGGCACAAAAACAGGTGAAGTCCCTTCAGCTTGGCTTCAAAGCTCCAAATATCCTTGACTGGAGACAAAAAAAACTCCCCCACAAACAGTTGCAAAAAGGAGGAAATGCTGTTTAAACTAAAAATACCTATAAATTATAAGTAGAACAAGACAACACAAACCACACTGAAGCAAGTAAGGGAACCAGGCAAGATAAGGGCTTGAAGACATCCACAGATATTGGAACACACACTGGGAAGGATGCCAAACTCAGGTAAGAACAGACAGACTCGAAATATTTTCACACTTTGTTTCCAGCACTGGCTCATGCGCAGTCCATCCTTTTAACCAGTTCTCACAGCTGCAGCCCATGAAGAGGATCAAGGCCCTTTCCTCCCTCATAGACCACGCCATTCACATCTCTCCCTTATCCTCTCCTCCCTGCTTGCCCTAGGATGGAGATGGGATGGGCCTGGGTCCTCCTCTGACTGCCCAGCCGGCCTGTGCCCTTCCCCAGCCTCCTCCACAACCTATGGAGCCACACTTCCACTCCCTGTCAGTTGTTCCTCCTCTCCCTCAGATTCAGTCTCCAACAGGGGCATGACACCCACTCTAAGCGGTATACAGAACCAGTCTGTTGCCCCCAACGATCTGGGTCCTCGTTTTACCAACCTCGGAAGGATGGAAGGCTGAGTCAACCTTGAGCTGTTCAGAATCGAACTCCTGGCAC